TGCAGCACTGTTACATAATAACTTATCTGCAATCACTATGCGATATTTTGCATTGCGCTTTATCCTTAATTTTATTCATTTATATATGTTTTATACACCTGGTGGGTGTTATAACAACAGCAGCAATTAACACTGGCGCTTTCTGTATATCTAAGTTTTTTATTATAACTTGTAATACTGCTGTACGATAAATTAAATTGAGATTAAATTATTATTAAATGACGTGAAGGAAGAAATCTTAGAATCTAAAGTAAAACCTCTAAAATTAAAGGAAATGAACATTGCTCGAGAAATAAGCAGAGGAGATCATGTCATTTGCTATAACGACACGACGCAAGAGACAAGGTTTTTCATAAATACTATATAAGTTTAAATATCGTCGCGTCAGCCGTATCACTCTACGCAGGCGTACAGCGTGCGATAACAAGATACGCTCTCGGAAAGGATAAAATGGCTTTTATCAAAAGAACTCGCAATATTTTATTCAATTTAAGATTATAATACTATGCCTCTACAGTGTTATGTCCGCGAGAGATTTCTACCGCGAGTATTACATTGAAAAGATAATCGCTAAACGTTCTTTGACGACAGCACGAACAGTAATTCTCGATCATGTTTGGAGTTTCGGATTACATCGATTTGAGCTTGAATCCGTTGTCGAAATGAACGCGCGCTCTTCCCAAGCATTCCTGTATTGAATAAAGTATTGCGAGTTTTGATAAAAAATGTTTTATCCTTCCTGCAAGTGCGATCTGATATTTCCGTGTATAAATTGCGCGAGTGTGCGTACACGTGTAACGAGGGAGAGAGTAGCCGCGGGCGAATGTCCCATTCAAGAGGATGCGTCAGACGCACTAAATATTCTTCTTTATCGGCGCTCTTTTAATGAGAAATTCAAATGAGTTGTGTATTATAGAGAGCAAATAAGCGATATTTAGTTGAAACAGATTTTCGCTTACCAATATTTTTGTATAAATGTTACAATCTCATGTGCGCCGAATATTTAATATTTTTGAAATATAGTATAAATTGAAGTTGGAATGCGTACACACACACGCGCGCACGCGCACAATTAGGGATTCGTTGACAAGCATAATTTATTGTACAATATATTGTCTGGAAAAATTAATTATCATTAGAAAATAGTGGCACAATAACCAGTTGCTAGACACTTTATTATTGAAAACGCAAGTCCATCTGCTCTTTTTTGTATTAGACAATCTCATTAATTTGATATTATCTAATATCTTCTTAGTTCAGGATGAATGCCGCTCGGTCGGAGTGGTTGCGCATATTCTATATTGTTATCAAATGAGTATCTTTTATGTAAACTCGGTTTCCACAACGCCCAAAAACGGGGTATAATGGCCAGGCCCCAGTTCGTCGGAATCTTCGTAACACATACTGATATCTTGTAACATTATTCTCGTAACCAGTTTCGTCGGAAATCTTTAATAGAACATTTTGAGAATAATTGAGAATAATTTGTATATTTTTTTCGTTTTATACGGTTCATGCAAATTATAATTATAATATGTTTATTTATAATATTTTAATAAGAATTACATAGTTACATTAAATCGTTTATCAAATTAAATAAAGAAGCACCACAGACGGTCAAAGGTAATGCCTAATAAATATGATCGAAGTTTGGAGCGCTCGTGAGGGAGCAAAAATTAAAAGTAAGCCGAAATTAACTCTTTCACGACAGCAGAATTGATCGTCACTACACAGCTGTTTTAAAATTATACATTTTTTATATTTTTATGTTTGAGTCATATCTCAGCCAAATATAAATATTTTTCTTTAAAATTTTAACAAAATAAACTTCAAAATGTTTCTCGAAATATAGGGAAAGTATACATGTAAAAAGTTTTTGAAACACATTTCACAGCCGAATGCCGAATTTTATATGATATTCTTCTCGAATTCGTAGTTTTATTTATTTGATCACAAAAGTTGTCTTACGAATTTTTGAATTGTCAACTTTTATCTATACTACAATTTTATTTATTAGTTAAGGAAATTTTTTGGGAAGTTTTAACTTTTTAAACATTAAGTAAAATAATGTAAAATAATAATTATATATCGATCCGATTACGTAGCGCGCAACGCAAAGGTCTGAGCTGTTCGCCTCCACGGCATTAATAATGTATCAAAATAATATTCTTAAGATCTCTTAAAATCTTTCTCGACTTTTTAATTGTTTATGATTACAAAATAAGAATTAGGGTATCATCAATAATAATTGCCAATAAAAATTGGTGACAATAGCGTATTTCTAATGCATTAGCGAATACAATAAAAACTATCCTTGTCTTATCTCTATCATTGGAGGAAAAAAACATTCGAGAAAAATGAAAGTATAATGGTACATTTATACAAGTAGAACGCACTCCATGAGGTAGCATGTCTACGGGATGCATACTATGA